ATATATATATATATATATATATATATATATATATATTTGTTTATATAATTTTTGTTATTCTACGTAAACACCATCTACACTTCTTAACCGCTAACGTCTTAGACAAAGCTAAGTCAGGGAATAGAAAGCAGAGTTTCCCTGCACTTAAATCGATAATAGTTTTACCGTTAGTGATGTGATTTGTTTTACCGTTAGTGACGTGAATTGTGGGAGGATTTAGACAATAAGAAAATAGTGGGGATGAATGTTGTCTCTCTCTCAGTCAGTGGTTTTACCCAGTTTTCTTGACTAGACGTTCTATCTCTCGCTTTCATTCTTGCTGTGAATTCCTTTCTGCTAGTCTCACTTTCTGTCTGCGTCTTCCTCCATCATCTCCCCCTCCTCCCTCCTTCTTGTCAACACACATTATGGCCAGCAGACCCAGTGGCAATTTAGCCTCTCTGCCATCTGGGATCAATACAGAGTCTCATCTACAACAAGCCGGCCTGACATTTTAATATCTGTAATTCAGACTAAGTGTTATGCTTTCTGTCCTCCTACCAGACAGCCTGCTGTTTATTCTCCCTCTGAGTGACTGAAGTCAAACTCTGAGCACAAACACACATTCATGGATGACTATTTGTAATCATTTTTACTCGCCCACGCCACCATAGTTTCCCTTCCTTCAAAACTCCCTTTTGAGCATCATAGCCAGTCAAAACAAAAGTTCTTGGAAGCTTTTGTTTTCTCACTAAAACTTTGACGGGTTTTCTGGTTGGAGATGCTGTTGAAGCAGACGTTTAGAAACAAATGTATACATGTGTATGTATGTATGTATGTATGTAACGGTATGTCTGTGTAGAGGTATTTCCAGCTTGTGTTATTCAAGAAGTAGGATGTATCTGTCTTCTTGTTACTATGATCTTCACTTTAGTTCTTGGTTCCTTGTCTGATCTGCATGGACTACAAGTGGCAGTCCAAGAACCCCGAGGGGGGATTCAGTTCAGGCATTTATCTAGGAGATGCACTGATGATTGAGCTCTTCCCCCATACTGCCCGCTGTACCCATACCCCCAGCCCACTAACACAAACACCCAACTGACATGTTTAGACTAAATGACAAAACCCAGGGCCCCCTGTGTCAGAGGTACGCTTCTTTCCCTGTTTGCAAGCATGGACGTCCCCCCCGCCAAACCTTTTTGCAATTTGATTATGGTGATATTTAATCTAGATTGAAAGAGAAGAACTTCCTCCCCCTACAGTCCTTCTACTCGCTTGCACCCACCCACTCTTTGTGACCCAATCCTGTCCCTCCGCACCCCTTCCCAGAGGTAATTCTGTCTGATTTGATAAATGTCCACAGTGTGGCAAAAAAAATGGAAGGGGTAAATTTGCCATCCCAAAGGAAATGATATCATGAGCCATGACATTGTGGTCAGAGGGTGATGGAGGAGGGGGGCTCTGTTGAAGCGCAGGCTGGAAAATGTACACATGGCAGGTCGTAATGGTGGTGTGCTGATAGCCTGTTTGCAGCCGAGCCGACGTCTTCCCTCAGTTGCAGAAGTTACTTTTTAACATTATATGTGGAGGATCAGGTCTGAGTCGGGACATCTCCTGCTCTGTTTGAGAGGTGCCAGCCAATTAATCATGTACGGGTTGTTTGAAAAGTGCTCCAAGCAGACTTTCGGCACCCATGTTGTTTGTGTGGACACTGGAGTCGTACTGTGCATGTTGTCATCAGATTATTTATGTTTCTTTTTCTGAGAGATGAGTCATGTCTTTAGTAAATGGGAACAGCCTCCATGCTCAAGATTAAAGAAATTGGGGGCAAACTTTAGTTATTATTATTAAAAGTACTCAACACTGGAATTTTGTCCGTTAAGCTTGTGGGTTATTAGATAAACTGTTCAAAAACTTAAAAAAATATATACAATGTATCTAAAAAAGTTAAATCTGGTCCTCTGGACATTAAAAAAAAAAACAAAACAAAGCAAAACAACAAAAAATGTACAATGTACATTTGGTTTATCTGCAAAAGTTTGCTTCAATTACAGACCTTCTTTATTTTTCTCTCATGTCTCTTCCTTTTGGCTTGGTTCACGAGTTACTTTTATATTTAGTTTAAGACAAGAAATTGTTTCAGACACTAGTAAACATTTTGCTGTTCTTTCTTTTACAATTAACATGCACTTGGTTTAATGCAGCATCCTATAGACAACTTGAAAGCTATGTGAAGTTTAAAAATGCCACTCAAAGCTACATTTCCTTCCTTCCCTGACCTCTGCAGGTCAGACCAGCCTGAGGAGGAGCGCCCTCCCAGCCACAGTTTGTCCAACTCCAAGCTAGGGCTTCAAGGGCTGGAGGAAGAGGAAGAGGAAGTGGAAGGGGACGATGAGGAGGAGGAAGAAGGCAGCCTGACGGAGAAGTCCCATGATGAGGCGCCAGAGTCCCCGTCTCCTGTAACAACAGGGGTGTACGAGGAGGATGAGGAAGAGGAAGACACTGAGACGGCTCCGTTAGCTATGAGCTATGAACACACTCGCCGGTATGTTTGATAAACAAAAAATAAGCAAAATGAATTATTTATCTCTAAACAAGCATAGCAGTTACAAAATATTACATTATTGTCATAATTCTGAACAGAAACTTTAGTGTTTGAATATTTTTTATTGTAATTCAAGATTATATTAGATAGTCCTAAAAGTCCAAAAGTTCAGCTTCTGTTACGTCAGTTTTTTCACTTCCTTTTCAACCTTCTAGCGTTTTTATTAATCTTTTCTTTCTTTAACCTTTTATTAATTCAGCTTCTTCCTTGTCCTTTCACTTCATATTATCTCATTTTTAAATCCTTCAACATTTTCTCAACATAAATCTCATTAACATCCCACCTGTCCCATCCAAATCTTTTTATCTATTTACACATACGTTCATACTGATTCATTCATCCATCCATCCATCCATCCATCATCCATCCATCCATCCATCCATCCATCCATCCATCCATCCATCCATCCATCCATCCATCCATCCATCCATCCATCCATCCATCCATCCATGCATGCATGCCTGGGTGTGCAGGTGTATAGAGGAGGAGGGCTCTCTCTTGGACCTGGAGGGTCTGCCCAGCTTTCCCAAGAGCCTGGATGGTTTACGTAAAGCAGCCATAGACGAGCAGCCGTATGACGTTAAAGACATATTTAACACTTCACTAGAGTCTGAGGCTTTGAAAGAGACATTGTACAGGCAGGCTAAAACCCAGGTATGTGAATGGGTTTGGGATGTAGATTTTAAAAATGAAATCAAAACGGATGTTTTTATTTAATTTATTTTTTTGATACATGGATATGGATTAGATAGATTTTTATTCACATTTCCAGGAACTCTTATTGTAACCAAATGACAAATTTTCTTAGAATAAGTATTTTCCTCAAAATAAACTTTTTAACATTGACCAACAGGCAAAAAAAACAAACAAAACTGTGTGCTTATATTGTGAATCCTGCATTTTCCTTTATTAAAAGCCACCTGTTGTATTTTCCAGGCTTATGCAATGATGCTGTCTCTCTCAGAGAACAACCCTTTGCACGCGCCCTCCCAGAACTCTCTGGACGCTTGGCTGAGCATGGGAGGTGGACCGTCTGAGACGGGCAGCTTTCACCCACTCAACCACATCTAAGCAACGAGAGATGGTGGGAGGAACAGTAGGAGGAACATTAGTTTCACGAAACGATGAAAACAAGAGCCTGACAAGGCAGAAGAACGGAGATCATTGTCACATACATTCAAGATAGAGTGAATGCGTGTGTGTCGTGTTTGTGTGAGTGAGATAGAGGAGTGTCCCTTTGTGAGGGGTCTTGCAAGACAGTCTAAGAGAAAGCACTGCTATGCTCCTGTTGATGTGAAGGACATGATGAATGCTTCGCTTTCTAAGCATCAAAAACTCTGCGTTACTCTGATGCTCCTTCGAGTGCACAAGACTCACTGCAGCATCACACACGCCCTGTCTGAGACTTTCCTAAAGACACTTAATGACTCATAATGTCTCTAAAGTCTGTGCACAATGCCCAATATGAGCATTGGAGCGTTGGCACTGCATGTCCACCAGGTGGCACTGTTTGAACAGTAACACGGTGGACGTGTGGATGGTCCTCTCCAGGTTTTCCTCCAACCATGGTGACTGATTTTATTTTTTTTTTTCAGAATCAGCAACAGCACCACACTAAATATAACTATTCAGATCCAGCAAACTGTTGATTTTTCAGTGATTACATGACAAACGTTGTCTAATGTGTTTTTAATAAACTTTCTGGGCCACTAGTGTTTGTAATTGGTTGCAAATTTTGTTTGTACTGAAAATGAATTTAAATTATACTTAACAAAAAGCCAGACTTTGTTTTCTGTTTACTGCTTCATTGTTTAAATGTATTTACTTTTCTATTAGATACCACAGTATTGTTTATTTGTAGATGCCACAGGGCTAAAATGTTAATTTAATTGTTTTAGAGAAGGACCAAATTGTATGATAATGTCATATGATGTAAAAAACCTAGATGTTCATAACAAAAGTGGTATGTGCCAAATAACCCATAGAAAACGTTTTTTTCTTTGACAATCATTTCATTTCCAAGGGGCTCACATTTTCTGTCATGTTTTTTTCTCTCTCTCTCTCTCTCTCTTGTTACACCTATATTGTTAATTTCAGAAGTGTGTATATGTATTTATTTTGTTGTTTGGACTTGAGGAGTGAAAATGAAGAAAAGCCTTTTTATCCATCTTGTCTTGAAGGAAGAACCCACATATCAAAACACAGAGCAAGATTCTGAATCTCTGGTTTTGGTGGGCTAGTGTGCCAAAATAAAATAAAATAAAATAAAATACCCCATTAAAAAGTTTTTTATTTATAGTTAAACACATATGTGGCGATGATGCATTTTGCAGGGTTTAGTCACTTATTTCCATTTGACCAGTTTTAATAGGGGCAGACGTAAATAAATCTCTGTATGAATGTCAAAAATGGGCATTGTGTTCTCACTGAATCACTTCATCCCACTTATACCTCCCTTTCTGTAATGATTTGTCCAGTCATAATGTCTAAAGCACACAGTCACAACTACATGAACACAACAGAGTCAACAGTTATATGAGAAGAAAGATGCTGAACGGCACTGAAAGACTGGAGCTGACGTCCCAGCTCTGCTGATTGATCTATTTAACTCATCTCGCTAACTCTAGATGGAGAAAATTTTAGCTTCACGTCAAACTCCTCGTTCTTCCTTCTAGATTGTTTTGAAAACCCATTCCATTCGATATAAGTTGTGCCACGGATGGCGTGAATTTACTGTAGAGATTTGCTTCGTTGATCGCTTTCTCCCCCAACAAACTTTCAGAACCAGGCCTAACGCTGTACTTTCAAACTAGCACTTAAACCCAACGGGCCCGAGCCAAACGACTGATCAGTCTCTGGTCTTTTGGTAAAGCTTGGAACACAGTTGTTCGAGTTGATTTAACTTTGACTGGTTGAACGCGTTGGGCTCGACAGATAAAAATGAACAGAAGCACTGTAATCTTTCGTCATGACAGCAGGTGGTATGTGATGCTCGGACTGCTGCGTCATCTCATTGTCTGAAGACAGAAGTTTTTATATAATTCTACTGAATGAGATTCCATTCATGATTAACATGTTGTTTTTCAGTTTGTGGTTTGAACATGTAAAAACTTGGGCGACTAAGTTTTTTTTTTAAGGTTGACTATATTCATGTCATGGACTACTGTAACAAGTACGCGCTGTGTAACGCATTTAAACTGAAGGCATTGAAGTGCTCCTTTTGGGCTACTTCAGGAGATATTCTGGTCACTGAAATATTTTTCAGCTAAACAAAACATGGTTGCTATTTGCCCCACTGTTACAGAAATACAGTAAAAAAAGAAAAAATACACATGATTTCTTTTTAAACTGTATAGTATTTTAAAAGAATGAAAAACATTGTTGCATTTGTCTGAAGAAAAAAAAATTGTTGAATAATATGGGTTTAAATGGATGGTGCTCGTTTTGTTTTAATCTGAGTTGTATATCTGTTATGTTTATTGAAAACAAACAAAAAAAAAAGTTCTTGTGCATGACGTGTTTAGCAGTCATAATGATGTCCATTTGTGAAATGTGTATCAAATCAACAAAAAAATAAAAACTGAGAAAAAAAAGTAAAACGAAAATAAATAAATAAATCCGTAGATGCACTTATTGTACATGTGTTTAGGTTAGTAGGTTTGACTTCGAGTTCTGACCGCCTCACAGAGGTGCGGGCGGGTTCTGGAAGACATAGAAAAGGCTTGTGAGAGAAGACATGATGAAAAACAAATAAAAGATTGTAGAATATTATTGAACAATTCTGAAATTGCAGTTCTTTTGATGCTTGTGATTATTGCAGATGTACTTTAGAGAAATTTCATTGAAAAGATATGACTCTGATGTTAATTCTGTAGAATAGCGATGTATACCAAATGTAATCTTTCCAATGCTATGAAGAATTTATACATGAAATTGATATGCAATAAAACCTGTGTGCTTTTTAAAATTTGTGACGCATTTAATTCAAAACACTATAAGCCCTTGACTCACCACTTGGACTAGTGATTAAGTTAAAATCATTGATCGTCCTTTTATTAACTAAACTATTATGCTATAAAATAAAATAAAACTTACTGTAAGTTCTCAAACATCTAAGTATCAATTTAATTTAAACCCAACAAGATTTTTGCCTGAAAGAGCCAAAAGTAATTTATCAGACAATAAAAGTCCCACATTTTTTCACTGATGACATTTAGAAGCCATTTAATCTAAAAATGTTGTTTAAAAACAACTCATTACATTTCTCTTAATCCTTTTAATAACAAAACCTTGAAATGTTTAAATTAATTTTATGAACTTACTGGAAAAGCTCACTTTCCAAACTTAGCATCGTTCTTGCAAAAATATGTCTCTTAGTAGCCCCACAAGGCTCAGTCTTAGGACCCACCCTATTCACAATCTACATAAGTAATGTAGGTCAGATCATTCCTGATGAATCCGTACACCTCTATGCCGATGACACGGTTGTTTATTGTTGAGCTAAAACTGTAGCTAAGGTTTTCCAGCTTGTACAGTCTACTTTTAACATCACCCAGTCAGATTTGTTCCGTCTCAAACTGGTGCTAAATGCTGATAAAACCAGAAATGTTGTTTTCAAACAGGAAGTCAGATCTAGCAGTCCTTCCTCCTATTTTACTTTCAAATGGTGTTCCTATTGAGTTTGTCGATTCTTGCAAATACTTGGGTATCTTGGTCGATGCGCATCTCTCTTTTAAGCCCCGTGTCAAAAACTTGGTAAAGAAACTGAAAGTTAAACTGAGTTTCTTTTTCAGAAATAGATTCTGTCTAACACTGAATGCTAGGAAACACCTTGTAACTGTGACTTTCCTTACCTTCATTGACTACGGTGACATTATTTGAACACTCCTGCAAGCACTATGCACATGTTGGATGCTGTCTATCATGGTGCACTAAGATTCCTAACTGGCTGTAACTACTGTACCCACCACTGCACCCTGTATTCACTGGTTAACTGGTCATCATTAACTTCATGCAGACTCTCTCACTGGTACATTTTCATCTTTAAATCACTTCTTGGTCTGTTGCCTTCATACATCTCCTCCTACATGTCTCTGCATGAGTGCAGCTACAGCGTGCGCTCTCAGGACATTATTACCTGCAGTGTTCCCTCAGTTAGGACTGAACTAGGCAAAAGGGCCTTCTCTTACTCTGCTCCTGTTTCCTGGAATATCTTGAACAAGATCTGACGCTCTCAACCTTGACTAAGGGATTTTAAACATCTGCTAAATTCATGACAAAAAAAACCCAACGCAGACATGTTCCTGTTTTTATTATTTTACATCGCTTTATAATGTAGCTGTTTTTTGTTTTGTTTTTCTATATAATTTCTCCCATTTACTTTTCATTTTATATGCTTTTTTTATGATTGCCCACTGTTGTCATCTGTGTTCTTTATATAAAACAGGTCTCTCTTGTAAATGAGTCTTCGAGGCTCAATGAGACTAATAAAATGAGATAGAACTTACGTGTATAAATATAGATTGAATTGAAAAGAAAAGTTGAATTGAAGGTTGTTCGTTAAAGTCAGAGTCCACAGTCCAGTCTGACTTTCTCCTCCTGCATCCTATATATTTTTTAGATTAAATATATATATTTTATAATCAGCACACAATTCTTACAAGTTTTCTAATGTTTCTCTGCTCTAAATTTCTTTTTCAGACATTAAGCATGATGTTGTTGATCTTGTACAATTTATCTTTAGTGATATTTATCTTCAAATTTTCATTTTCATTTAGGTTCTGGAAAATTTTATGTCTGTAAAATTGGTATAATTTTTTTTACAAACATGTTTGTACCAACTGTCTAGTTTTAAACATGTCATTGCACAGAGACCCCGCTTATCAAGAGGACTAACGATCTGAGGAATGTAGAGAAAGGTACGATCAATATTTATGTTGCTGTAAATTTAAGTTTTGCCTTGACTGGAATAGTTGGCTTGAAACAAAATCTGTGCAAACCGTAGGAAGAACTTCCAGTGCCTGATTTTCCGTTCTTGTTTTCTGCAGCATGGAAATTTGTTGAAGGTGCCCCGCTGTCAACCATGATGAAAAAAGGATTGAAAGGGTTAATTTAGGTTTGAAATCAGCTCCTTCTACCATGCCACCATCATATTACGGTAGTTTCATATTTCACCAAAAGATGTTCTCACATCTCAAGTGAACCAGAGTTATGGAGGCTGATGATTATTTTCCTGATATTTTGGCTGATTTCTTTAGATTTTCTTCAAGATATCACACAAAGAAGCAGCATGTTGAAATGAACTCACACGTGTGCCTCCAGTTAACTCACCTGATGTCAACTAACCTAACTAAAGCTTCCAGAGCCATGACATCATCTTCAGGGCTTTCCAAACTCCTTAAAGGCATTGTAATCTTTGTGTATGTAAACTTCTAAAGCTGAAGAAAGTAACAAAAAATAATTATTCATTAAAAAATCTCTCTCATTATTCAGACATTTAGCAAATATAAATATTTTTGGCAATCCTACCTAAAACAAGGATTATTTAGTCTGATTAAATTACATAAAAATAGTAATGTGTCTTTTTATACACATGTAAATATCTGATTTTACCTGTAGATGAAGTTAAAAGTTTTAAAAACTTTTTAACAAGATGTACTAACATGCACTTTAAAATCTTTATGGGCTTTTGGCAGCTTTTAATGACTCTTAGTCAAGATGTGGATTTTTTTTTTTTTTTTTTTATCTCACAGCAGGTTTATCATTAGTACACTTACAGTTCATCTAAAACAAAATCCCAATAATTAGCTACTGCTAAATGAAAAGACTCACAATAAAGATGGGATGTTTTGATGTGCAGCTGGGGTTAAAGTAGGGTATTATGTCTTTTACTAGTTTGAAATGAACTCAGTTTACTGACAGAAAAAAAAAAGACACAAATAAACTCATTTCAGTTCAAATGTATTCCTGTTAAATCAATGTTATTATGATCTAAAGAAAATCTAATACAATCCAATTGAATTAAATTCATTTAACTGATGTTAACTTTTTCTACTTCACTGTGTATTTGAGCAAAACTGTTTAACTGAATGAAAACGCTTATGTGAATAGTCGAAGGCACCGCTACATTGATTTCCAATCAAGTGATCTCTGGATTGGTTTCAGCAGTTCCTTCTTTTTTCCTATTTTGCTCCCATTTGCTAATTCTTCTCTTAGAACATCAGTACCATTGGAAAATTCTTAGTTTAAGGCAAGAACAACATGTGAATAAGTCAGTGTTAGAAACCTTCTTATATGTTAGGTGTGCATGTTACATGTAAGAGTCATCGGTGGCAGTTTCAAAAATCTCATGTGAACTTTTTACTATACAAAACAACTCTGTGGTGACATGTTGATAAAGATCCAGATGGGAAGTGAAACATCTTCAACTTATTATTTTATTTTATTTTATTTTATTTTATTTGCCTTGCCCTAACAGAGAACCCACACAATTGATGTACAATTTCCCACCACAGATTTTAACACTACTACACATTTTGTAGATGCAGACAAATGTATTGTTAGTATTACATGTTGTTAGTGAGGCTTGGTTCAAATGAAGAAGAAACAACTGTTTGCTGCTCACAATGTAGTAAAAAGCAGGTGACCACTGAAGCTGGTGTAATGATAGTGATCATCAAAAACTCTTGTGTTTGTCCTCTGAAGCAAAAACACAACATCTCCAACATCTAGCAGCAATGTGACACTGTTAGCAGAGTTAGCACCATGGGAAGGCTGATGTTCATACGCATTAAAAATACGTTCTTCATTCTTGACCAACACAGCACCTGAACCATGTGAAGCATGTCCATGTCCATAAATGTGGAATTCAAAATGGTAGATTCCTTTCACAGGTGCAGTAAAATGTCCTGTAGGACAATTTATTTTATTTCACGTTTCATTTTTTAATGAGTCAAAATAAATAATCTGTCTAATAAAATGAGCTGTACATACCTGTATTTTTGTTGTAGGCATTTCCAATATTTGTAACAACATTTTTGAAGATCAGAGGAGTGTAAGTATTGAAAGGTCCAATATCTCCCCCACCAGAGGTCACCAAAGATGTTGAAAAGGCCACTCGTTTCACTGAGAAATTGAAAATTTAATGCATTATTTTGCTGAATTCACAACAACGCAGTTGTTCTAATGTTGAATCAGTCACAGACCTTCTCCACCTCTCTTCAGATCTTCTACCTGGTTTTCTGTGATGTTTGTTCTAGCTTTAACAGTGATCAGTTCTTCTGCCTGTGCTAGAAATATAATTTAAAAAAATTAATGCCACGTGAAATAAAATTCAATAAATTCAATAAAATTCAATTCAGTTCAGTTTATTTATATAGCGCCAAGTCACAGCAGAAGTCGTCCCAGGGCACTGAACAGAAACATTCATATATAAAAATAATAATTTAACATTATTTATCTGAAGAGCAGACTGCTTTGAGTTAACTCCATCACAGAACTCTCATCTTGAGCAAACATGAAGGCGACAGTGGAAAGGAAAAACTCCCTCATGAGGAAGAAACCTTTAGCAGAACCAGACTCAGGACAAGCGGCCATCTGCTTCGACCGACTGGGTTTGAGAGGAACAGATACACAATGGCAGGTCAAGAATCACTTGTTAAGATAGAAATAGTATCAAATGAAAACTATTGAATTTTAACAATTAATTTAAGGAAATTAGGTCAATTTGTCATCCAGTAGTCTAAGCTTAAGGCAGCATAAGAAGCCAACCCTAACTATAGGATTTATCAAAAAGAAAGTCTTAAGTCCAGTCTTAAAACTGGACAATGTGTCAGCCTCACGGACAGAAACTGGAAGTTGGTTCCACAAGAGAGGAGCCTGATAACTGAAAGATCTTCCTCCCATTCTGGTTTTGGAAACTCTAGGAACCAGAAGAAAACCTGCAGTCTGAGAGTGAAGTGCTCTGTTAGGAAAATATGGAACAATAAGATATAAGATGGAGCTAGGTTGTTGAGAGCTTTGTAGGTTAGAAGTAAGATTTTGAATTCAATTCTGGACTCGACAGGGAGCCAATGAAGAGAAGCTAAAACTGGAGAGATATGACCTCTCCCACTAACTCCAGTTAAGACTCTGGCAGCAGCATTTTGGATTAACTGAAGACTTTTTAAAGAAGAATTTGTACACCCAGATAACAAACCATTGCAATAGTCCAAACATGACAAATACATGAACCAATTTTTTTTGCATCATTTTTAGATAAGATGTTTCTAATTTTAACAATATTAAGCCGGTGGAAGAAGACGGTTCGTTGTGGTGAAGAGGGAGCTGAGCTGTAAGACAAAGCTTTCTGGTCTACGTTCCTTCCCTCACTTATGATCATGAGCTGTGGGTAGTGACCGAAAGAATGAGAACATAGATACAGGTGGTTGAAATGAATTTCCTATGCAGGGTAGCTGGACTCTCCCTTAGAGATAGAGTGAGAAGTTTGGAAATATGGGAGAGACTAAGAGTAGAACCGCTGCTCCTCCACATCGATATGAGCCAGTTGAGATGGTTCGGACATCTGGGATGCCTCCTGTGCACCTCCCTAAGGAGGTACTTCCAGCATGTCTGACTGGGAGGAGACCCCGGGGAAGACCCAGAACATGCTCGAGAGACTATCTCTCGGTTGGTCTGGGAATGCCTTGGAGCTGGAAGAGGTGGCTGTGGTAAGAGATGTCTGGGCTTCCCTGCTCAAACTGCTGCTCCTCAGACCCAACTTAGGAATAAGTGGAAGATAATGGATGGGTGGACTTTATTGGTAGTGCTTGTTGTTAAAAGTTAAATTTGTAAACAATAACTCAAAGGTACCCTCTTTTGTTATTTTTTTGTCATTATAATTACTAAAGGTACAAATCACAAATTGCAAAAATGGGACTAAATCTGGTGAAGAAAACAAAAACACAATGGACATGGAAATATTAAAGGATGCTCATTTGTCATATTTAATATACAGATAATACCTTGATGTTGTTGTTTCAGCTTGTCCAAGTCATTCTTCTGCAACTCCAGTTCTTCTGCCTTAGCTGTTTGCACAAAGAGCAGATCAGATTGAATTTTATTGTTTTCCTTCTACAGTTCAAACCAGTGGTTCTATTTCATATAGGCTTCGCCCTTTAAGAGCTGTCGCTTAGTGGGTTTATCCCGTTATGCACAAGCATCATACTGAAAAAATTAGTCCACGCCCACCTGCTGTGTGGGCCCCACCCGATCCGTATAAATTACATTAAGAGCGGGTAATCTGCTCCCATTTTTCTTCAGCAAGCTAGTACAATAAAAAAACAACTGACCTTTTCGTCGAGATGTCCAGCTCCAGCACCATCCGCTTGTGTCCCTCCTGCAAGACCGGTTACTTGCTTAGCTTCGACCGGCACGACACCTGCGAGGGATGCCTGGGTCCCCGCCACGTCGCCCGCGCTTCCTCCTGCCGCCTCTGTGACGAACTTCCACCGGAGGAAAGGCAGAGGAGAGCAGCCTTGTTTAAGGCTACCATCGAGGACTGCCTGTCCGTGGCGGGAGACTGCTCGCTGGACGACGCCATGGATTTCTTCGACGCCGGCTCTCGGAGTGAATCGGATGATTCCTCTGGGACCGGTGACGCTAGCAGCAGCCCCGACGCTCGTTCCCTCCCGGGGAGCGCAGTATTGGAAAGAGGGAGGCCGAGCGGATGCTCGACTCCCCCGGGGTTTCCCGCTTCAGCGACCACATCGCTCCCTGCCGTGGGCGCGCTCCTCTCGGAGCTGCCCGCCATTATCCGGGAAGCTGCTAGCGTAAAGGGGCTCTCCGTCCCCTCACCCCCCCCCCCGCTCAGATCGGATGATCTTGCGGGAAGGTTTGGCTCCACGCCGGCTCGCCGTCCTGATCCCATTTGGCCTCGTTTTCCAGCGGTGACAGCGTACTGGAACGAGGCCGCAGCCGGTCCTGGTAGGTTAAGGGTGCCCGTCTCCACTTACGCCCCCATCACCAGAGTGGAGGGGTTCACCGAGCGGGGCTATCCCTCGGTACCCCCCCTTGAGCCAAGCCTCGCGGAAGCCTTCGGAGCGAAGCTGTCCAGGCTGGAGAAGCGTCCCGTCCCTCCGGGGAAACACGACCAGGCGGTGACCGCGCTCTCCAACAGAGCCCACCAGTGTGCTTTTCAGGCGGCCGCGGCTAACAACAACGTGGCGCTGTTAGCATTTAGCATGTCGAAAAGGCTGGAGGCCTCAGACCTGCCGGAGGAGACAAAGAGCTCCCTGTGTAAATCGGCAGACGCCATCCTCAACATGTGCGCCGCTTCCACGGTTTGCCTGTCGAGGATTGCAGCGTGGATGACGGTAATCCAACGGTCCACCTGGCTTCGTCAATCTCCCTTGCTGCCGGAAAAGCTGCACAAAGACCTGATGGAGGGCCCCATCTCATCGGACGCGCTGTTCGGAAGCAGCTTGAAGACCATGCTGGCGAATTCGAAGCAGTCGGAGGAGATGTCAGAAGCTGTGCGCCATCTCATCAAGCCGCGCGGCTCATCCCGTCCCCCAGCCCGCTGGAGAGACCGTCGAGAGCAGAGGCAGAAACATCGACGCTCCACGGCAGCAGCAGCTTCGTCTCGCCCAGCTCCACCACCAGCCCCGCCCGCCAGAGACCACCCCTCCTCAGTCCGGCAGCCTGCACTTCAGCGTTTCCCCAGAGATCGCCTGCAGACGGCGCTCGGGGCAAACAAACCGCAGAGCTCACGAGGGAGAAGATTTAAGAAATGACGGTCTGCGGAGGATGTGTGTATAAATGACACAGGAATTGAAATAAATGATTTTTCAAAGATCAAAATGCCTGTTTTTAGCCAGTCTGTAAGTTCGGATGAGCTCACAGCCGCTACACACACATCCTCCACACAGAGAGAGCCGGTGTCCTTAAATAAAGGTTTTTTAAATCCACCGTCGCTCCATCACATGCCCAGACGCTCACGTGACACCACGGTAAGCGAAATAATTTGTTGTCAATCAGAACCGCTCGATCACCACCCAAGCGGTGTTAAACGCGCACCCGAGCGAGGCAAACAGCCTCCATCCAAACGGCGCTGTGTTGATGATGCACGCACAGCTGCCCGGCGCTCACCGGCTCACATCGGGATAAATGTGGGACCGCAGGCCGGGTCCGGTGGAGGTCCCCGCTCTCAGCGAAAACAACACACGCCTCTCCTGAATGAACGCGAGCGGCCGTCATCCATCGCGTCTCAGCGATCAGCAGCTCACGGCGGCATAAGCGTGAGACAGCTGAATGAATCCAATGACGGGCCCCGCCCTCAGCGAGAGAGGCGCGCGTCCCTCCAGAGAAAACGTGCGCTCCCGCGAGGCTCACAACCTTCACTTCGACAGCACGGCGTTGATGACATCACGCCCTCCACCTCTCAACGTTCGCACAGCGACGTTAAACGTGCAGCCTCACGACGTCATCAGCTGACACACGCCTCGCCTCAGCACACACCGCCCCGCCCGGACATGAAGGTTGGTCCGCGATCCAGACACAGCGCACGGGCGCGCGCAGAACAGCCCTTTCGAGGAAGCCTCGCCTTGGGTCACGCGGAAAACATTTCCGCGACGCATGACGGCGGTCGAGGCGGAGGTTTGGATGACATCCGTTCAAAACACGGCACATCATTTAAACGCACGTCCACTCCACGAACGTTACGCAGAGTGGCAAAAAACCTGTTCGCCGGACAGATGGATGGACAGAGTGTTATGCAAGGGTTACACGCTGCAGTTTGCAACCCGACCCCCTCCGTTCGGAGGAGTTATAGAGACGGTCCTGTCATCACCAGACCAAGTCTCAGCCTTAAATGCAGAAGTCCAAGAGCTTCTGATAAAAGGTGTAATCTCAAGAGTTCCCAACGAAGAGGAAAACACAGGGTTTTACTCACGCTACTTCCTGGTCCCCAAAAGGACCGGAGGGATGAGACCGATTCTGGATCTGTCAGCTTTCAACAAAGCGATCATGAACAGACCGTTTCACATGTTGACGAACAGACAGCTGTTGGACAACATCCAGAAAAACGACTGGTTTGTTTCCATCGATCTAAAAGATGCTTATTTTCACATACCGATCATCCCAAAACACAGAAAATTTCTGCGTTTCGCCTTTCAAGGGATGAAGTACCAGTACAACAGGCTGCCTTTCGGGTATTCCCTCGCGCCTTGTACGTTCTCAAAGTGTGTGGAGACAGCCCTGCATCCGTTGCACAGACCAGGGATGAGAGTTTTGTTTTACCTGGACGACTTGCTGCTCCTGTCTCACTCCAGACAGGAAGCGCTGATACAGGCTCAGGTGTTGGCATCACACCTGTTAAATCTGGGCTTCGCCATAAATTGGAAGAAAAGCTCGATTTTCCCGGCCCAGACAATTGTTTATCTGGGAGTGGAATTAAATTCAATTACCATGACGGCTCGCTTATCACAAACAAGAATCGACACTCTAAAAAACCAACTACGCCACGTAAGACCTGGCAAAGTGGTAACAGCTGTTTCCGTCATGAAGCTGTTGGGAATGATGTCATCAGCTCACACAGTGGTTCCGCTGGGTTTGTTACACATGAGACGCCTCCAGAGGTGGTTTGCGCGTCTACGTGTGGATCCAGTAAAACAAAAGAGACGGATGATCACTGTCCCTCCCTCCGTGAGAGCAGACCTCCGACACTGGGGAAACACCCTGGTTCTGTCAGAGGGAGTCCCCGTCAGCAAACCCTCGTCACACGTATCAGTCTTCACGGACGCGTCGCTGTCAGGCTGGGGGGGGACATGCTTATCTCAAGCAGTAGGGGCGCTGTGGCCCCACCACACATCAGCCCACATCAATGTTTTGGAGTGTCGCACAGTGCTGAACGTGATTCAGCATTTTGCTCCCGTGCTACAGAATCAACACGTGTTGATTCACACCGACAACATGGTGACTGCTGCGTACATAAACCGCCAGGGGGGTGTGCGTTCAGCCCAGATGTTACACATTGCGCGGAAGCTACTGTGTTGGGCTCACCAAAATCTGCTTTCCATCAGAGCGGTTTACATACCCGGCGTTCTGAACAGAGGAGCAGATGTGATGTCCAGGGGCGTCCCACGTCACGCGGACTGGACCCTCCATCCAGACCTGATGTTTCAGACGTGGCAGAAGTTTGGCAAAGCAGCTGTGGACCTGTTTGCGACGCGAGAGAACGCTCAGTGCCAATTATGGTTTTCCCTGAGCCCACGAGACGATCCACCGCTGGGGGTGGATGCATTTGCCCACAGCCCGTGGCCCAAAACGCTTCTGTACGCGTTCCCCCCTCCCCCTCTGATTTTACGGTTCCTGAACCGAGTTCAGGAGGAAGGATTGACAGCTTTCCTGGTAGCTCCCGAGCGCGTGAACGCACCATGGTTCCCAGTCCTGCAACGTCTGTTGTCGGGTCGTCCGTGGAAACTGCCATGGAGGGAAGATGCTCTCCTTCAAGCAGGAGGAGCGATCAGGAGTTACCCGGAAATAGGCCAGCACCTGTGGGTCTGGCCGCTGAGCGGTCCCGCTTAGAGAAGATGGGTCTCCCTCAGGAGGTAGTGCGCACAATTCAAGATTCACGCGTTGCATCTACCACAGCCCTGTACACATCAAAGTGGACGGCCTTTCAGCGCTGGTGTACAGAGAAAGGTCTGGAGGCCACCTCATGTCCATTAGGTGGCGTGCTGTCCTTTCTTCAACAGCTGATGGATAGGGAGTTGGCATTCAGCACGATTAAAACGTACGCTGCAGCCATCTCTTCCTGCCACGAAGGGTTCGGAGACAGAACAGCTTTTAATCACCCGCTGATGAAGCGGTTTCTAAAAGGTGTACAAAGACATAGGCCGGTTTCACGCCCACTCGTTCCACAGTGGGATTTAACACTGGTCCTGGGAGCCCTGATCAAAGCTCCATTTGAACCTCTGGATCAGGTTTCACTTAAATTCTTGTCTCTTAAAACAGCCCTGCTGCTGGCTTTAACATCCGCTAAGAGGGTGAGTGATTTATCGGCCCTCTCTGCCGCTCCGTCATGTCTCAGAATCCAGGCTGACGGTAGTTCAGCTGATTTAAGACCAAACCCAGCCTTTATGCCTAAAAACATCACGAGCTCTTTTAAATCGAGACAGATATCGTTGGAGGGATTCTTCCCTCCCCCCCACAGATCAGAAGAGGAAGCATCTTTTCATCTTCTCTGCCCGGTGCGGGCGTTATCGTGCTATATAGCGCGCACAGCTACAATGCGTCAAACTCAACAATTGTTTGTGCATTATAGAGATGCATCTGCAGGCCGCCCGTTATCCACCCAGCGCTTGTCACACTGGCTGTGTGAGGCCATTTCTGAAGCCTACAGAGCATCAGATCTAGAGCCTCCTGTCAAACTCAAAGCACACTCAACCAGGGGTATCGCATCTTCGACTGCTCTGCATAATGGTATGTCAATGCAGGACATTTGCACTGCGGCTGCATGGTCAACACCCTGCTCATTTATTCGCTTTTACCTACGTGATGTAACGGCTCGTTCCATGACACATTCTGTCCTTAGTGCTCTAACAGAATGAATATTGTTGTTCTCATGGAACTCTGTTTAAACTCACATCTGTCTGCATGCTTCACAGTGTGAGATGTTGTTATCAGTCACAAGTTGTGTTTGTGATTTTGGTTCTATTGTCACTAATCAGTTCATGACTATGGTTACCAATCAGTTCATTTGTTCAATAATCAGTTCATTGATATTAATCTGTTTATACTGTTCAATCATGAATCAGTTGCTTCATGCCCCCCCCCCCCCTCCTCTTTTCAACATCTTCCCCCGTTGAAATTTTTTTCCCGGGCATTCATGCTTTGTCAGAACGCATAGTTACACAACATGCGTCTGTGCATGGCACACAATTACGCGATGCGTAGTTATGCACATGGGGAGCTGAGTGACAAGACGTTTTTTGGGCAAGCTTCCGTTCTTACTGTGTTCGAATGGACCCAGTGAGGCGAGGACCACATCCGCTTCGCCCTTAACCCACTAAGCGACAGCTCTTAAAGGGCGAAGCCTATATGAAATAGAACGTTGGTTACGTACTGTAACCCCAGATTCTATGAATATAGGCGTAGCCCTTTAAGCGTCGGGCCTCACTGGCTCCTGAATAGCTGAAGAAAAGAATAAGCTATTTGGGAGCAGATTACCCGCTCTTAATGTAATTTATACGGATCGGGTGGGGCCCACACAGCAGGTGGGCGTGGACTAATTTTTTCAGTATGATGCTTGCGCATAACGGGATAAACCCACTAAGCGACAGCTCTTAAAGGGCTACGCCTATATTCATAGAATCTGGGGTTACAGTACGTAACCAACGTCTCTTGTCATCCTCCATGTTATGAACTTTTTTGTTTTCTTTATTATAAGCCACTAACAAGATTAAATTTTGATTTTAATCAAATTGATGTTTAATACAGACTTCTTCATTTTATGTCATGTGTCAAACATGCGAGCTCACATCAAAACCAATTCTTCTTGTGTGACATTTTTTATTGTTATAACAAATGAGCTTTGTTCAGTTAAACTTGATGGTGTGCTAACATAATCCAACCCAGTCCAGCACATTTATGTTTCTAGATTATAAGTAAAATTAATATACTGATACTGCTTGTTGCAGAATGTACAGAAGATTTTGGTTAAGTTGCTGCAATTCGCCAATTTAAGGTAATTGTACTAATAAAAATCAGCAAATTTACCAAATTTATTAATATTTTTGGTAAACAGAATGATGTACTCACTATCTTTAATGCGTGACTTTAATGGGGAACTTTTTTATTATTATTATTTGCAGTAAATACCTTGATGTTGTTGTTTCAGCTTGTCCAAGTCATTCTTCTGCAGCTCCAGTTCTTCTACTCTAGCTGTTTGCACAAAGAGGAGATCAGATTGAATTTTAATGTTATCCTTCTTCGGTTGAAACCAGTGGTCTCTTGTCATTCTTGATGTTATGAACTTTTTGTTTTCTTTAAACTAAATCAAGACCAAATTTTGATTTTAATAAAAATGATGTTTAATACAAACGTATTCATGTGTCAAACATGCAAGTTCACATCCAAATCAATTCTTCTTGTGTGACATTTTTACTGTTTTGACAAATGAGCTTTGTTCAGTTAAACTTGTGTGCTAACATAATCCAACTCAATCCAGCACATTTATACAGAACTGGGTTTCTGGATTTTAAGTAAAATTATTATATTGATGGTTGTTGCAGAATGTACAGAAGGTTTTGGTTAAGTTGCTGCAATTCACTCATTTAAGGTAATTGTACTAGAAAAACAACAACATGACCAAATGTATTAATATTTGGCAAGCAGAATGTGTACTCACTATCTTTAATGTGTGACTTTCATGGGGAACTTTTATTCTTTAATTTGCAGTAAGTACCTTGATGCTGTTGTTTCAGCTTGTCCAAGTCATTCTTCTGCAGCTCCAGTTCTCTTGCCTTAGCTGTTTGCATTGTTAAAATAAATAAAAAAATAAAAATGTGCAATACAAACATTCACAGCAGTGATCCCAGTGCTGTATGTCTCTTGATAACATACCCTCATTGTCTCTCTGTAAGTACCTCACCTCCACCTTCAGTCCAGCCAACAAGGCGCTCGTCTCTCTCAGCACAGCATTGATGTCTTGTTTACATGTTTGTTGATGCTCTAACAGATTTCCTGCTTCTCCTACCTGCGGCTCAGTTACTTTTAAATTAGTAATAATTTTACTGCCAGAATCTGCTTGAAGATGAGCTGCAAAAAGAGGGCAGATTAGCAGCACCAGTGAGGAAACCTCTGTCATCATTCTGAGTCAGCCTCTGTAGAATAACGTGCTTTCTGGATTAACTCAGATCTTAAATATTGTTTTTACTGTCACTAATTAATTATGACCATAACAGGAGTTTTTCTCCATAGAAACATGTGCAGGAGCAATCTCGCTGAACATTTATGAAGGCACTGAACGACCGGGACTAAACTCAAATTTACCAGAAAGTGCCCCTTCAGGAAATCATGCATAACAAGTAATCTGAAGAATTACAACATTGTTCAAGGAAAACTTGTGATTTTGATGTCTGTGGGGGAGGGCAAAGAAGAGCCGTTGATCCTGCAGAATGAATTCACTATGCTTTACGGAGTTTTACAGCAGGAGGCGGTGTAGCCTCCATACTACAGAGATGCAGATGCTGAGGACTCTCTCCATGGCACCCTTGGTAAAATGTGTGCGTGATGGAGGCTGGAACTTCAGCTCTCTTCAATTTGCAGAGGAAATTCAGGTGGGTTTGAACTTCTTGGGCTAGTGTTGTGGTGTTATTGGTCCAGTTAAGGTCCTTATTGATGTAACATGGGTAGCATAACTACTACATAACACCTTCAGCCACATCACCTATCTGGCACTCTTTTCACCTCTACTACATCCCAAACTCTTCCTTCAGGACCATCCCCACTCCATTTCTCTTCCTATCCACACTGTAGTAAAACAGCTTAAACCCTGCACCACTGATACCTTTCGATCCTTCCCTTTGGTCTCTTAAACACACAAAAATTGGTTTTCTTTTTCAGAAATAGATCCTGTCTAACTCTGAATGCTAGGAAACACCTTGTAACTGCAACTTTCCTTCCCTCCATTGACTACGGCGACATTATTTACATGAACGATCCTACAAGCACATTGCAAATGTTAGATGCTGTCTATCATGGTGCACTAAGATTCATAACTAGCTGTAACTACCATACCCATCACTGCACCCTGTATTCACTGGACATCATTAACTTCGTGCAGACTCTCTCACTGGTACATTTTCATCTTTAAATCTTGGTCTGATGTCTTCATACATCTTCTCTTACATGTCACTGTGTGAGTGCAGCTACAGCGTGCGCTCTCAGGACATTATTACCTGCAGCGTTCCCTCAGTGAGGACTGAACTCGGCAAAAGGGCCTTCTCCTACTCGGCTCCTGTTTCCTGGAATTTCTTGCAAAAAGATCTGAAGCTCTCGACCTTGACCTCTCTACGTGGCTTCAAACATCTGCTAAGTTCCTGGGAAAAACCAATGCAGACATGTTCCTCTTTTTAGTTTTCATACATTACAACCATCAGTCCTACACTACCCTCCTGGCTCTTCTCTTCTCTCTCTGTCTCCTGGCATTTATCTCCTCATGGTCTTTGACTAACAGTTGCACAATTACTGCTGCCGGTACCCAGTTTGTCAACAGAACCAGTACTTGTTCGATTAACTCAAATGTTAGTTTTAGCAAAAGAGTTTTATGCCTGATGCAACCTTCACCTTTAACCTGGGCTTGAGAATGGCATGAAAGGGCGAATTAATAGTTTGTAAATCATTCATATAAATAATATATATTTTAATAAGTATAGAAAAATGCTGTTCACCTGGTGTAAACAGTAATTTAATTTTACTCTATAAGACCAACAATTAGGAATAGTTTTTCAAGAGTATTTATACCAAAACACAATTTATAAAATAAAGGAATAAAGCAGGCAAACTACTATAATAATGCAAAGTTTGTTTTCTCAGTCATCCAGGTATATAACAACAAAAAAGGTTGAATCATGTCATCTGGACTTCGTTTTTTTGTTAA